GGTTCAACTTTGGAAATGATCATACAGACAATGGACTCCGGACTAGGTGCGTTCCTCTAAGTCTTCCTACTAATATGCCCATGTTGCGAAAACAAGGTCAAACAACCTCTATGCAGCGAAAGTAGACTGCGACCACGCAAAAGGCCACACCATCTTGGTCTTCATACCTTCGATTAAGTCAATGTATGTCGGAGTATCTTTCATTTCGTTTGAAGAGGCGAGTGAAAGGGATGCATACGTTGGTTCCACCGGAGGCTTAAAGGTGTTGCCTTGGAGATGTGGTTGTAGATTCGTTTGAATAGGTCCTCGACACAACGCCCTACTACCCCGATGAATACTTGCTGAGCTTTCGTCCGTCATGACGGACATTGTCAGGGCAGGACACCATGGTTAATGATTATCCCCCAAAACACGAAGGCTAGAAATATGGGCGGCTTCAAACCTACTTCCTTCATATATTTCAATTTGGTGAACCTATGCATCTCATGTTTTGATTGGATGTCCTCTGCTTTGCATCTCTATATTCTTATAGGTTAAGTGGCTGCGGATGACATGTAAAGCAGCTACAGATAAAGCGTGCAATGGTCAACTACGTTGCATTTTGGCAACATGAAAAAAAAACGTGGAGAATTTTTTGGTTTGATGAACAGGATCGATGGGAAGACAAAATTCGCCATCAAGTTAGAAAAAGAAGGTCGTTTACCTTTTCTTGATGCCATAGTTAGCAGAGGAGACTATGTTGATTCGAGATGTGTATAGAAGCCCAAAAATGCAGGTTTCCTTTTAAATTTCTTCTCCAAACAGATTTATGGTGTTAAAGTAAGAGTTATGTAGTCTATGATAATAAAGAGCATGCATCTGGCATATGTCAAAACATCGGGACCGGGAACTCATGAAACTAAGGCGAATTATGGTTGAGAATAATTATCCAGGAGGGCGGGTTGACAACTAGTTTAGAATATTGCCAAATAGAATGAAGGGAAATACATATTTGGAGCTAGATAAAAGAACATATCACTGCTTTAGCAGGATCCTTATGCTGCCATCATTTAGTCTGTCGAAGAAGATAGTCGAATCACTAAGGAGGTTGGACATCATGACAATTTATAAAGATAACATAATACTGTCCCGTTATTTCGTTCTTTTAGAGAACCCGCTATCTAGGTCAGGCTCTTATAAAATTGTATGTTCATGTGATAGTGCCTATATGGGAGAGACCGGTAGACCCATACATAAGAGGTTATCCGAACACAAAACAGCCTGCAAGGGTATGTGGGTCCAATAATCGGAATTGGCCGAACACATGGTTCGCACAGAGCACAAGATAGCTTGTAATAACGCCAAAAACTTAGCTGGATATGGAGACCATACCAGTAATCGAAAGATTAGGGAGGCGATAGAAATCAACAAAACAGCCAACACTGTGAATAGAAGGAAGGGGTGTATCAAGTTAAGCGGAAAATATTTGTGGCTGTTGGATAGGTTTAGAGAGTGGGGGAGCGAGAAGTACCACTGATTGGGTTAGAACTTGGATAAGATTCTTACATCAAACTAATTTCAAGAGCAATGCACTCATACAATACGTGTGTAATGAGACACAATCACAAGCGGTAACATTGCAGAAGCAGAGGCATGTGTTTCAGGGAAGGATGCAGGTGTTCGGTTTCAATTGCTCCCATTTCACACTTCATCTGTAGCCATTTCACACGCCATCTGCAGCCACTTAACCTAACATATGAGCAAATGTATAAGCAAAGCATAGGATATTCAACCAAAACATGAGATGCATAAGTGGACCGAATTTGAATATAACAAGGAAGTAGGTTTGAAGCCGGCCACCTTTCTTGCCTTCATGTTTTAGTGAATTATCGTCAACTATGTTGCCTCGCTCTGACGATGTCCGTCACATGACGAATGAAAGCTCAGCAAGGATTTATCGGCGTCGCAGGGCGGTGCGCCGAGGACCTATTCCCACAAATCTACACTAAAATCTCCAAAGCAAGTCCCCCCAACGGCATCTTAGAAACCCAGTTTTTCTACATAAATCAATTCATATTTCCGATCTAATCTGGAACAAAAACCTTATTTATAGCAAAATGGATCACATAGTCTAGAATCTAAATCAAGGGGCAAATAAGATCTCTTTTTCTCAAATTCTGCTCCTTGAGGGAAGGTAGTGTTTCACGTCTGAATTTACGGAGTAATAAAAGTGGACGAATAGAAAGAATATGATTAAAATCTATTGCGAGCAATGTATCCCAGTTGCTCCGTATTTTACTATAAATCGCAAATGTATTTGATTTAATTTACTAAACCCCCGTATAATAAGATAAATCAAATCAAATCCCAAATCCTGTATGAATTTAAATGTTTATTCGTTAAAGAAGTCCATCTCAAATCTATCCATTCGAAATAAACTAATGTCCTAGAAAATAAAAATAGGGTTTCTGACCTGTTGTTCAACCTTTGAGGTTCCATTTTTCTGGTTAAGCTCTTGCGATTGGTAAAGTGCTAAGTGTTGGTTAGGAGTAATGGTGGCCAAAGAAGGAGATCCAGCCCCAGTCCAGACTTCAACATCGCCGTCGCTGGAACAGCAATTACCACCCTCACCAACGATATTAGGACCACCAGCTCCCAATGACCCGGATCCCATGTTTATTCCAAATCCGAGCACTGCAGGCGAGAGGCGAGTCGATGAAAGAGAGCGAGTCCCGTAGTTTACATCACCACCACCGTTGATTACGCTAGTTCCACTAGTACCAACAGGATTTACAAGGGCAGTGCAGCAACCGCCACTTAATGAAGCTGTCTGACTAAGGCTGCTACGTACAGAAACAAGGCTTGTCTTTCTGCTACCCATATTTAGCAAGGAGCTAGTGGTGCGAGCCACAGCTGGGCTATCTTCAGCAGGCTGGCTGCCAATAAAATGCATCCCGCCGGTACTGATATTGCCACTACCACTACCACTTCCTCCGCTAAGCGAACTTTGACATCCAAGAGACAAGCTAGTAGTGTCACTGGTAGAACTGGTAGCCTGATCTATAGAAAGGTAGCCAGTTGAGAGAGGTGGAATGTTTGGTGGCTGAAAATAAATATTTAAAAAAATAGATTTATAGAAGTTTAGAATCACGTTATATAGCAAAATAATATAATAGAAAGAAAAGAGAGGTAGGTATAATGACTGAAAAATCTGTCACAAAGTTAATAAGCATAAATTATGACAAATATTAGGTGGGAATATTTTAGATAATACACAGTGAAATTATTTTAAAATGATGTTCCGAACAACCGAAGCCACGTGAGTAACAATTAGCGTAGTGAGTCGAAAGCAAGTAAATTTAGGAAGCAGAGTTTTGTAGTAAAAATAAATAACGAATGCAACCTCACTTAAGGCTCATACGAAGCAAAAGCCTCAGCTAAACCTAAATGGGACTTCATTAAACCCTCCCAACAACAAAAATTGTGCAAATGAACTTAGTGATGAGTGAAGGCAAGGTAATCATAAGGATGAATATGTTGTGTATTTGTGATAATATTTAGGTATATATGCATGTCACAGCCAAATAGTGGCATTACTCACGAATAGCACCACTTACAAACATTATTCTAACAAACAGGCCGTTCATATTCCACAAATGCTTTGACCAAATAACTATAAAGCTTGGAATATTGTAAAAATATACCATGAATTCTAGCTTGTATGCATGTAATATGCCTGCCACGGCAAAACTGGGGCATCATTTATGAATATATCATTTTCAAACTACACGAGGGGTATATAAATGCTTAAGCCAGAAAATTACCAAACTTTAAATGTGTATCGAAGGTATGAAGACCAAGATGGTGTGGCCTTTTGTATGATCACAATCTCTTTTCGTTGTATAAAGGTTGTTTGACCTTGTCTTCGCAACTTGGCCATATTAGTAGGAAAGCTTAGAGGAACGCACCAAGTCCTGAGTTCATTGTATGCATGATAATTTCCAAAATCGTACCGTGGACGTGGTACATTCCCAGACGTTTCGCCGGCATCGTCAGTGGATCTCGGCATTCTTAGCACCACACAACTCGTCAACGAGACAAGTGAAGCCGGTCCTTTAACCAAACGTGTGCTAAACAGTTGTGGTATCTCCCCTTCTGCCCTGGGCTATTCACATTTCCTATATCCTCCTATCACGCCTTCAATGTTGCAATTTTTCCGTGCTTATTTAGATGTAGTGTGGTGTGCTCCTTTAAGCGGCATTCATGAAAACCCTTAACACTCCACGCGATCGTTCTCACCCCCTTCACCCTTGTGCTGGGAATGTTGATCAGTCTGCCATATTGTTACGCAGTCCTCCCTCTATAGGTCTTATTACAGTCTCTATTTTGCCCCGTAAGATCCGTCTGCTATATCCCTGATTCAGACCGTTCGAATCTCCGGTTGAACCTGTGATATAGCAGACGGATCTTACGGGGCAATAGAGAAACTGTGATAAAACCTATGGAAGGAGGACTGCGTAACAATATGGCAGACTCTGATCAACATTCCCAGCACAAAGGTAAAGGAGGTGAGGACGACAGCGTGGAGTTTGAAGGGTTTTCATGAATTCCGCTCAAAGGAGCACACCACACTACATTGAAATAAGCACGATATAAATGGTAACAGTCAAGGCGTGATAGTATATAGGGATTGTGAATAGCCCAGGGTAGAAGGGGAGATACTACAACTGTTTAGCACACGTTTGGTCAAAGGATCGGCTTCACTTGTCTCACTATGGTGCTACGAAT